TCAACAATGTGCTCTTGTTGCCAAGAAGGCTAACGGCATTTTGGGCTGTATAAGTAGGGGCATTGCCAGCAGATCGAGGAACATGATCATTCCCTTTTATTTGACATTGGTGAGGCCTCATCTGGAGTACTGTGTCCAGTTTTGGGCCCCACACTACAAGAAGGATGTTGAAAAATTGGAAAGAGTCCAGCAGAGGGCAACAAAAATGATTAGGGGTCTGGAGCACATGACTTATGAGGAGATGCTGAGGGAACTGGGATTGTTTAGTCTCCAGAAGAGAAGAATGAGGGGGGGATTTGATAGCTGCTTTCAACTACCTGAAGGGGGGTTCCAAAGAGGATGGAGCTCGGCTGTTCTCAGTGGTGGCAGATGACAGAACAAGGAGCAATGGTCTCAAGTTGCAGTGGGGGAAGTCTAGGTTGGATATTGGGAAACACTAGTTCACTAGGAGGGTGGTGAAGCACTGGAATGCGTTACCTAGGGAGGTGGTGGAGTCTCCTTCCTTGGAGGTTTTTAAGGCCCAGCTTGACAAAGCCCTGGCTGGGATGATTTAGTTGGGAATTGGTCCTGCTTTGAGCAGGGGGTTGAACTAGATGACCTCCTGAGGTCCCTTCCAATCCTGATATTCTATGATTCTATGAAACCGCTTAGTTTCTTTGGTACTATAAAAAAACCTAAAATAGAAAGACTAAGAACCAGGTACTATGCTTGTCTCATGGGTTGCTGATCTCCTAATCATGGACATCTGTCTGGTGTATGTGATTCTCTGAGATGTGTAAGGAGCCTCTAGTATTGACCATCAGATTTTGCTGACTCACATGTGCAGCCTGGCTCAACTGTGTGATATTGCTCAGTAGTGGTTCGGCACTTTTCTATCTAAGCAGTCTCAACTTATTATTTTCGTGTAGTTGCTCATCTTCCAGAGGTATTTATCATATGGGGTTCTGTAAGGCTCCATGGTATCACCACTGTCATTCAACACATGCATAAAGCTGGGTGTAGGATTGGAAGGTGATTTAGGCTGCATCCAAAACATGGATGACACTTAGATTTGTGTTTCATTTTCATCAGGCCCTCTTGCTACCATTTCCATGTCTACTCAGTGCTTACCTAAGAGTGGAACTGGGAGGAGAGCAAGTTCACAAACTCAGGATAAGACAAAAGAGATGCTAGCATACTCAGTGGTATAAGCAAGGTAGCTCTTGCCTCTGTTATTGAGGTGATTTTCCATCCTTTGCACAAGTGTTTCACAATTTAGGGGTGCTCTTGGATCCTCTGTTGCTTCTAAAATCACAAGTGACATCAGTGGAAATACTCCTTAGCCTCGGAAATGCTCATATCCTTTTCTACTGGATCTGAACCTGGAAGTAGTAAGCCATGCCTCTGTCACTTTAAGACTAGATTATTTCAACAGGCAGACAGCTCTACTACTGTACATGGGGCTACAGCTGATGCAGAGTACAGTTGCCTGTTTGACAATGCTAGCTGATGGGAAGATGTGATAACTGTTCTTCAGAAATTCTCCAAAACTGTACTATCTGCTCACTCCAAGATGCAATTCAAGTTACTGACTTTGGTCTATAAAGCATGAGATGGTTTGGTCCCAGCTATCTGAGTGACTAGCCCTCACCCTGTACTCCACCACAGCAGTTGACATCAGCTGACGTATCAAGCTAAAATCCCCAGATTTAAACATGAAGCGGCTGGTGGGTTCCTCTGCTCTGAAATTAGCTCTCCCTGCTGGTGCAACAGAGCCCAAATTTACTAGCCTTCAGGGCTCAGTAAAAGGACATCTCTTCTTTAGGGATTTTTTTATGAGGGGTGAGAACAAGTGGCTAATGGGGAATTGGTTTCTTGAAAGGAATGATATACATCCTGATCCCTCAAAGCATAGAAATGTATGACAATATGTGTTTATTAAATTGTATTCATATGTCCCAAGTTCTAGTGAAATACATATTTTATAAATCTAAATACATACATATATAAGATATACAGGCACATACTGCATGCTTGCCAGTTTTAGATTTTTCTGTGCATGAATAACTCAAATTACTTCAAGATGAAAAAAGGGAAATTTGGCAAAAGATATGCACTTATTTTTAGATGTATAAAAATGCACTCATTGAAGCATCTGAATGCCTATACAAAATAATAATAAAAACATTACTTGACAAAAACAGTTCAATAACTCCCTCCAAACAAGCTTAATTTATCTCACCAGCTATTCTAACTCCAGACATTGAGCTGACAGATGCAAATTGCTGGCCTTCCTCGTCCATGGATCTTTTACTCCTGAGGGAATTCTGCACCAAAAAAATTAAAATTCTGCACCAAAAAATTAAAAATTATACACACAGTATTTTAAAATTATGCAAATTTTATTTGTCAATAAATAAATGTGGCTCCAGCATGGCAGTGGGGACCCCGGGCCATTGGCTGCATTGTAGTGGGAGATGACCCTGAAGCCCCCACCTCCCCCAGTACAGGGACTCGGCAGTGAGGCTGCACCTGACCCTGACAGTGCAAGGTCTGGGCCTGCCCAGAAATACCCCAGGGCCCTGCCCCTTTGCGCCAGGTGCACCAGGTGTGGGTGAGCAGGCTCAGCCCAGCAGGATGCAAGTGTGGGGGGATCCAGGTGTGAAGTGAGAGGTTTCTGTGTGGGGCAATCTGGGTGCAGGCAGCTCAGTGTGAGATCTGGGGGCAGTGGCATGTAACCCCATGTGCCCCCCCATGCCTTGCCTCTGTTTGGAGGGGGGCAATCCCCCACAAAAAACTGCACCTATGGTTGCCCCTCGCACAGCTTCCCTTTACTTCCCTGCCATTTTCTGCAGGGAAACACAGGAAATCTGCATGGGGCCATTTTCTGTGGGTGCGCAGTCACGCAGAATTCCCCCAGGAGTAATCTTTGCAGATTACATTCTGCAAGATGCTAATCATTTACAGAAAAATTTCTTTGCCATTTTTCAGTCTTAACCTCATTATTTTACATTTCCCTAAGTTAAATTGCACCTCACAGCCCATGTAGCCATTGTCAAGACCCTCTGTATCTACTCTGCCTCCTCCCCATTTGGAGTCACTGGCAAACCTCTACAACATGCTGCATACCAGTGGACATCCATGTCATTACTCGAGAGAGTAACATTTTTAGCCCAGTCTTTACCAAGCCTCCATTTTTGCGTGTGTAAATAATTGTATTGTATCTTTGGGTTTGGTCACTCACATCTCAGTTCTTGATTGCTGAAGTACTAATCATAAAATTTGACATCCAAGTGATCTAAATTGCAAATGTAAAAAACGGTGGGTGAAAAAACGCACTAGAAATTTATATCCACAAAAGCAGATTAAGCATACCACTGTTTCCCTCTTGCCTGATTTGTAACCATTGTCACCAATGACTTATATTAACAAGATTTTTAGCATGTACCGCTTTGGTCCTACTTTGAGCAGGTGGTTGGACTAGATGACCTCCTGACGTCCCTTCCAACCCTGATATTCTAAATAGTATTTTAGTTGCAAAACTGCAGCAATACTGTGTGTGGTAAACACTATTCCATAATGACACCACATGAGTTGTTATGGTTTATTATACAAAAATTTAGACAATTCTTAAAACACTATTTTGCTAGAAACAGTAATAGTTTCAAAACAGAATACAACCTGTCCTTAATTTAAGTATTGCAGAGCATACAGCTGTAAATTACCATAATGCAGTGGTTCTCAAACCTTTTTTTTTCGCAGACCACTTGAAAATTGTTGAGGGTCTTGGCGGATCACTTAATGATCTTTCCAAATGTTGTTTGTACCATTAGCTAACTATTGTAAAGCGCTTTGGATAAAAGCACTATATAAAAAAAACGTAATAATAATTAATGTTTTTTGTTCTACAAATAAAAGCCCACAACTCATATTTTAATATCAGTAGTCTTACCTTTCTAATGTGATGGATCTCTCTCACCGTGGCAGCCACAGAGCTGAGGCTGGGAAGGGGCGGGGGATCTCTCCCGCTTTCCCCCATTACCAGCAGCCCCTTAGAACTAATCTAAAATTGTTAAGGCTATAAACAGTCACGAAATTCACATGGAATGGAAAGTATACAAGAATATCTCAAAAGGTAATACATAGACATTAGTAATCTACAGCCAGATTCCCATCTATAATAACTATCCTTTTCTTTCTAGCTGCTGCTGAAGTAGGCCCCTCATTCTCAGAAGAAACATCACTTCTTTTAGTTTACAACAGAAAGAGATAGAATCATCGAATCATAGAATATCAGGGTTGGAAGGGACCTCAGGAGGTCATCTAGTCCAACCCCCTGCTCAAAGCAGGACCTAATCCCAACTAAATCATCCCAGCCAGGGCTTTGTCAAGCCTGACCTTAAAAACCTCTAAGGAAGGAGATTCCACCACCTCCCTAGGTAACCCATTCCAATGCTTCACCACCCTCCTAGTGAAAAAGTTTTTCCTAATATCCAACCTAAACCTCCCCTACTGCAACTTGAGACCATTACTCCTTGTTTTGACACCTGGTACCACTGAGAACAGTCTAGATCCATCCTCTTTGGAACCCCCTTTCAGGTAGTTGAAAGCAGCTATCAAATCCCCCCTCATTCTTCTCTTCTGGAGACTAAACAATCCCAGTTCCCTCAGCCTCTCCTCATAAGTCATGTGTTCCAGACCCCTAATCATTTTTGTTGCCCTCCACTGGACTCTTTTCAATTTTTCCACATCCTTCTTGTAGTGTGGGGCCCAAAACTGGACACAGTACTCCAGATGAGGCCTCACCAATGTTGAATAGAGGGGAACGATCACGTCCCTCGATCTGCTGGCAATGCCCCTACTTATACAGCCCAAAATGCCGTTAGCCTTCTTGGCAACAAGGGCACACTGTTGACTCATATCCAGCTTCTCGTCCACTGTACCCCCTAGGTCCTTTTCTGCAGAACTGCTGCCTAGCCACTCGGTCCCTAGTCTGTAACAGTGAATGGGATTCTTCCATCCTAAGTGCAGATGAGACACTCCCCTTTGGCTTACATCAAAACTTACTGTATTGAAAACAGTTGCCATGTTTGCTATGGAATAATCACACAGAATACTGGTGTGCTTTGAAAAAAAATATTTTCCTGTTTCTGAATTCAATCTATTAGGCTTCCCCTAACACTCAGATCTGAAGTAATTTCAAAATTTACCTCAAAAGGAAAATAAACCCACCAGACTTGATTGGAAAAGCAAAGATACTGTGAGGCATCTCATCAATAATAAGCAAAAATGTAGACTGGAGAGTCTATGTATGAAATATGATTTAATCTGGTCTCCTTTCAATGCCATATGATCAATGAGACACTTTAATAAACTGATGCTATGGCATGCATTAGAATATTACAGACCTTGCCCCAGAAGATTTTGCAGAGTTTAACATCAGAAACAATTTACAGAAATATCTAATACAGTATTTAAAGAATATTAGATAGTCAGCCAACGTTAAGCACTACATTTTGAGGCATTAGGATGGAGAAGTGCTGGTAGATGCTGAATCTTGCAGAAACCCTCCTCTACTTCAGCAGCCCATATCCCAAGTCTGAGCTGCAAAGGGGTATGGAAGGCTGGAAGATGAGCTTCCACTCCTCGTAAAGGAGAAGGCTCGCTTTATTGATGTGGAAGAAACTAAAAAGCTATCTGTCTAGGACCCTAGTTCACTGTCCATAGTCCAGTTTTTAGGCACGTTATAAAATTCATATAAAGCAATTAAAAAAGGGCCTGCACCCATAGATCATAAATGAAAATAAAACACAGACCTGTTTTCTATCTTCTTAATACCAAACAAAATTTCTCAACTCAGTCTTTCCAAGTCGATCTCTCCCAAAGAAAAGCCTATGAAAACAGATAGGTCATGCAGCCTATCCTGAAGGTTACAAAATTGGGCTGCTCTGGCAAAAAAAAAAAAAGGAAAAAAAATCCCAGACCGAGGTATACTTATGACTGACTCTTGGTAAGAAAAATATACACAAGGCTAATACCATGACAGCTGTTATCAAACTATGGAGCAGGTCTCCCAAGGGAGGCGCGGGAATGGATCAAGAGAGGTGTGAGCATTATGTCTTTTTTTTTTTTGAAGAGCTCTATCTGTGAGTCCCGGGTGGCTGGGGCTCATGAAGAAGGACCATGCACACCCAGAAGGCAGGGGATAAAGGGGATAGCTGAAGCCCCTCCATCTGACCTCGGGCTTGCCTTCCTCCCCAACACAATCCCTCACCAGGAGGCAGCCCAGGCTCAGGCTCGCCTTCCTTCTCCCCACTCCCCCATCCCTCACCTGGAGGCGGCAAGGCTCCAGCTGTCAGCTCCAGGGTGGCAGCAGGAGCACAGAAGTAAGGGTGGCAATGGGATGCTAAGTCTGCTGTGAAAAGTGACATTGATGAATATAACTTTTCACATTGCAACCCTTACTTCTATGCTGCTGCTGGCATGTAGCTGCCTTCAGAGCTGGGCACCCAGCCAGCAGCTGCAGCTCTCCATTTGCCTTCAGAGCTAGGTGGCGGTATATGTACTTGTGGGGGAGGAGGGGGCGTAAACGACTACAGACGCAAAGAAGGGAGGCCTATCAAATAAGTTTGAGTACCACTGCCATATAATAATATGTGTATCATTAAAACTAACTAGGAGAATGAATTACAAATGACTAGCTGATGGTACAAGACCAAATATTTTTCTCTCTCTCTCTGCTCCTTAGATTCCTTCCAAGTTCTTGACCAGTGGTACTGAATCCCAAAATGCTGAAATATTGAAGATATTTCTTCCAACCAGATTTTGAAATTATATTATTCTGTTCTTATACCCCAAAATGAATAACCGTTGGATTGCCTATTTTAAACATAAGTGCTATATCTTCTGATATCCCTCTTTAGGATCTCTTGACTAAACTGTACATCTCTGGACTTGAGGTTTATAACTTAGAAGCAAATGAGGCGGGATGTATCCATGGTATCTAGGGCTGTCAAACGATTAAAAAAATTAATCAGGATTAATCACGCGATTAAAAAAATTAATTGTGATTAATCACACTGTTGAACAATAATAGAATACCATTTATTTAAATATTTTTGAAGTTATAACACAGAATACAAAGTATATAGTGCTCACTTTATATTTATTTTTGATTACAAGTACTTGCACTGTAAAAACCAAAAGAAATAGTATTTTTCAATTCACCTAATACAAGTACTGTAGTGCAATCTCTTTATCACGAAAGTTGAACTTACAAATGTAGAATTATGTACAAAAAATAACTGCATTCAAAAATAAAACAATGTAAAACTTTAGAGCCTACAAGTCTACTCAGTCCTATTTCTTGTTCAGCCAATCACTCAGATAAACAAATTTGTTTACATTTGCTGCCCACTTCTTGTTCACAATGTGATGATGTCACCTGGTACAAAATACCACCTGGGACACTGCTGGTACTTTTCCACTGAAGGGGCGGTAGGAATCAAACAGATTCAAACAAAAGATTCCCGCATTTTGTAAATCCTATGTAAGGCTGGAGAGTGAGTTAATCAAGGTCACCAGTTCTCCACTGAATCCCTGCCCCGGATGACTGCTGTAAACACCTAGGACTGATTTGGGGAGAAAGGACTGGGACCCAGGATGAGACAGGGGTCTAGCTTGTGAAAAGAAATACTTGGTCGCAGGTACCTTCTTTGCGTTTTGTCAAATCTGCAGTGAAAGTGTCCTTAAAATGAACAACATGTGCTGAGTCATCATCCGAGACTACTATAACATAAAATATATGGCAGAATGTGGGTAATATACAGCAGGAGACATATAATTCTCCCCCAAGGAGTTCAGTCACAAATTTAATTAACTCATTTTTTTTAACGAGCATCATCAGCATGGAAGCAAGTCCTCTGGAATGATGGCCGAAGCATGAAGGGGCATACGAATGTTTAGTATATCTGGAAAAAGCAACAGAGGGTCCTGTGGCACCTTTGAGACTAACAGAAGTATTGGGAGCATAAGCTTTTGTGGGTAAGAACCTCACTTCTTCAGATGCAAGTCTGACTTTGAATTAATCGTGATTAATCGCAGTTTTAATCACATTGTTAAACAATAGAATATCAGTTAAAATTTATTAAATATTTTGGATGTTTTTCTACATTTTCAAATATATTGATTTCAATTACAAGAGAGAATACAAAGTGTACAATGCTCACTTTATATGATTTATTACAAATATTTGCACTGTAAAAATGATAAACAGTATTTTTCAATTCACCTCATACAAGTACTATAGTGCAATCTCTTTATCGTGAAAGTGCAACTTACAAATGTAGATTTTTTTTTGTTACATAACCACTCAAAAACAAAACAATGCAAAACTTTAGCGCCTACAAGTCCACTCAGTCCTACTTCTCTTTCAGCCAATCGCTAAAACAAACAAGTTTGTTTACATTTATGGGAGATAATGCTGCCCACTTCTTATTTACAATGTCACCCGAAAGTGAGAACAGGCATTTTCATGGGACTTTTGTAGCTGGCATTGCAAGATATCTATATGCCAGATATACTAGTATCAGAGGGGTAGCCGTGTTAGTCTGAATCTCTAAAAGAACCTCACTTCTTCAGATGCAAGTCTGACCCACGAAAGCTTATGCTCCCAATACTTCTGTTAGTCTCAAAGGTGCCAGAGGACCCTCTGTTGCTTTTTACAGATTCAGACTAACACGGCTACCCCTCTGATACTAGTATATCTGGCATATAGATACCTTGCCAGCCCCCAGCGCAGTGGGCTAAGGCAGGCTCCCTGCCTACCCTGGCCCCGTGCTGCTCCCAGAAGCAGCCGGCACCATGTCCCTGCGGCCCCTGGGGGAGGGGGAGCAGAGGGTTCTGTGCGCCACCCTCACCTGCAGGCACCGACCCGCGCAGCTCTCATTGGCCGCGGTTCCCTGTTCCCGGCCAATGGGAGCTTCGGGGGTGGTACCCGCAGGCGAGGGCAGCGCGGGGCAGAGCCGCTTGCCCCACCCCACCCCCAGGAGCCACTGCCGGACATGCTGGATACTTCCGGGAATGTCACCGGGCCAGGGCAGGCAGGGAGCCTATCTTAGCCCCACTGTATGCCGTTGTCACCCTGGAGCTACTCGAGGTAAGCGGCACCGGGCTGGAGCCCGCTCCCCAAATCTCTCCTGCACCCCGCACCCCAATCCCTTCCCCTGAGCCCTCTCCCGCACTCCACACCCCCTCCTGCACCCTAACCCCCTGCCCTGAGCCCCCTGCTTCACCCTGCACTCCTCCTACACCCCAACCCCTTGCCCTGAGCCCCTTCCTGCACACCGCACCCCCTCGCACTCCCTCCCGGACCCCAACCCTCTGCCCCAGCCCTACATTCAAGGCCCTGCATACAATTTCCACACCCAGATGTGGCCTTTGGGCCAAAAAGATTGTCCACCCCTGTTCTAGAAGAATATTAAGGACCCAAACACTTAAGCACCGGTGTAGTGCATGAGAACCAGTAACTGATAATTGTGGAGGGGGAGGAGGAGGGGAGGACAACAACTATAAACCTGGCCTCTCAGCTGGTATTTGTACTATCCAAGCTGAGTGATGTGCAAAACGTTACAAACAGAATAAATGACAAAAAGGATGTTTTTAAAATGCTTCCACCTTTAATAATCTACAGCAAGCTGTGATTAATAATAAAGTTAAGGAAACTATTTATAATATGGCTCTGAACTGGACAGTGTTCTTGTAGTAATGTAATATGCTACTTTCTCATGCTATATAATAGTCAGTTTTTGAACCAGCATTTCAAACTATGCCACATTTTAGCAGCCAAGAGGAAAATGTAAAGTGCTATTTTTTTTTAAACTGGCTAATACACTACTTCATGTTTGTGCAGCTCTTTCAGTGTGAAAAGCACTGTATGTGGGCTATAATTAATATTTTCAACAGATCAATGCTCTCTCCTAAACTACATAGGAACACCACAAGTGCTTTCCTTAAAGCCTTTAAAACAGTTATCACAAGGTGTACTAGTATGAGAGGAAATCTGCACAATTACATTATTACATGTTTAATTAGATACATGTATAGCACAATATTTTCACATTTACTGACAATAGCTTCTTCATAGCCTTCACTCAGATCAAATTTTTGATGAGTGCACTATCAGTAACTGTCAAAACTGGTCCCCGGAAGAGCCTAATTTGGATTCACATCCAGATATATAATTTGCTGTTTTACTTGGGGTGCAGATGAGTATGTTTTTAAGATACATGTTTGCTACACTGACTAGCTTAAAGGCGATAGGGAAAGTGATATTTATACCTATCAAGAAAACTTTAAAAACTGTGGGTGCCTGATAATGTTGCTTTTATAACCCTTGAAGTGCTTTGAAATCCCTGAATGGAAAATACTATTGAAGTGGAAAGAATTATTTGGAGCAATAAAATCTCATTTCTCAAATATATGAAGCAAGGGGATGTTCATTGTGGAGTTTTGCTCTTTAACTTCATTAATTAAGTAAGTCTACCACTAGACTAATATTCATACGGGCTACAAGTTCAATGTCTAAATAGGGATTTAGAAGCCTAGATTTAGGCAGGCCTGCCTGAAAATTCGGTCCATTAAGTTTGCAACAAGCCAAAAAATTCAGAGTTACAGAAATTCTGTGTTCCTGTTATTGAGGGAGAAAAAGTTCATATGTGTATGTTATTTAAGGGCAGAATGTCTGCCTTAACTTAGAATTTCCTGTTGGTTTGATTTATAATCCTAATATTGCTTCAGTGTAACTTCTGGCCGTACTCTACGATTGCCAAACTATTTTTATGCTCTTAACCACAGCTATTTATACAGTATAATACTAAGCGCTCATTTCCATCAGGATACTCATGCAAATATTCAAAGACGTAGTTTGATTTTATGTTGTTACATAAAGTCCACAAAATGTTTTGTCTCTGAACACATACTTTCAATGCTGTAGACAAACAAAAGTTTATTCTTATCCACAAACTTACTTTTTCCCTCCCTTAAATTGTAATAATTTTATAAGACACACAGCCTCCAGATGGGGAAAGAAGGCTCTGACCCTTAGTTTCCTATGATGTAGGATATGTCTTCACTACAGGGCTGGCTCCAGCGTTTTTGCCACCTCGAGCAGCAGGAAAAAAAAAAAAAAGGCGCGATCGGCGGCACTTCAGTGGCAGCTCTACCGCCGCCGCTTCATTCTTCGGTGGCAATTCCACAGCAGGTCCTTCCCTCCGAGAGGGACTGAGGGACCCGCCACCGAATTGCCGCCGCTCTCCATTGGCCACCCCAAGCATCTGCTTGCTGCGCTGATGCCTGGAGCCGGCCCTGCTTCACTACCAATGTTAAAGCGCTGCTGCGGCAGCACTTTAACGTGGCTGTGTAATCACGGCACCATAAAAAACAAATAAACCCATAAAAAACCCACCCCCATGATGGGAGTAGCTTCCAGTGCTGGTGCACTGTCTACACTGCCACTTTATAGCACTGAAACTTGCATTGGTCGGAGGGGAGGGTTCACACCACTGAGCAAGAAAGTTTCAGCGCTGTAAAGTGGCAGTGTAGACAAGGCTTAAGCAGAGCTCCAAGGTTCAATACTAGCAGGCTTAATAGGGCTAAAAGAAAAAGTGAAAGGAGCTGCTGTTTGTAGCAATGAAACAAGTCTCCAACAGCCTTTGACCTTCAGGGTCTTACTATCACCTGTTTGTTGGAAGAGCAAGCCACCATCAGTTTTCCAACAAATGGACAATGAGGCCACTTACTCAGTGTCCAAATATAGACTTAGGAACTTACTTTTAGGCATTCATATTTGAAACATTGTATTTAGTATTTTTTCCCAACAAATTTAGGAAACAAGTCTTATTTCCTACAAATATCAGAACACTATATAAGCAGAAAGAATATCCCATCTTAAGCATACATACATGAGCAAAATGAGTATTCCACCTTAAACCAGTAAAACTAACTCTGTGGACCGGATTCTGCAAGGTGCTCAGCACCCAAACCCTCATTGACTTCCACAGGAGTTGAAGATGCTTGGCACTGAATGTAATCAGGACTTTTTTCTTTACCTTTCTGTAATAAAAGTGGTAGAACAAAATCTCTTAAAAATTATATTTTTAAATATATACTAAATAAACTCTAATGCCAGAACTACTGGCTACATTTTAGCCACCATGAAAATCTCGCTAATAATGGGAAATGTTGACAATTTTAACTACAGCCAGTAGCACAAACAACTGCGTTAAAGCTTGTTTCTTTCAAAGCAAGCTGAAAAAAGTTGAACTTTTACTGAATACTGAACACGCAAGAAAGAAACCAAGGAATTTGATCAATCATTCTCCAAGTATGTTAGTGGGAAGTCTAGGCTCCTGCATTACTTTGCTTTCATAATATTCTCCAGAGAGCAGACTCCTTGAACAGTGGAAGGCAAATTCCCTGCTGGTGTAACTCCACTAACTTCAGTGGAGTTATTTCAGCAGAAAATTTGGCCCTGGAATTTTTAATTTGAAGTCCAGAAGCTGGCCTCACATAAACTGCAATATTTGTTTGTTCCCCACAAGTCTGGCACGCTGGTGTAGTTCTTATAAAACAGCACAAAAATAAAGAATTTGGAAACATTTATGCCAGAGCTGGCAATATGGCAGATAAGCAACTGGTTAACTTATTTTAAACTTTGGACCATAATTAAGTTCATCATCATTTAAAATAGGAGAGATTTAAGAATGACATCCTTTGGCAAGTGTAAAGATGAGAGAGGCAGAAAGCTCTGCTAAGGGCGCCAGTTAGGGGGGCCAGGGAAGGGCAGAAGCCCCCCCTTGTGTTTCATAAAGGTGTGCAAGCTCCCAGGTGGAGCTCTTAACTACAGCACAGCATTAGGGCTAGTCTACACTGGCCACGTTAAAGCGACTTGCCTGACTAGCCTGCAGCGCTTTAATGTGGCTTGTGTAGTTGCGGCAGCGCTCCCAGCGCTCTAAAAAAACCACACCTCAACGAGGGGCGTAGCTACCAGTGCTGGGAGCACGTCTCCCAGCGCTGGTGCACTGTCTACACTGGCACTTTACAGCGCTGAAACGTGCTGCGCTCAGGGGGGTGTTTTTTCACCCCCAAGCAAGAAAGTTGCAGCGCTGTAAAGTGCCAGCGTATACAAGTCCTTAGTGTGAAATGTAAGTTCTGCAGAGGAGAGGTGCCCCTGAGGCAGGGAGTTAGTACTGTGTTTAAAAACAGAGACAGGGTGATTAAGGTAAGAAAGGGCTGGTGATTAAGGATATGGAAGTTTAGCCTGTAAAAGAGGCTCAGATATTTAAGTATTATGTGTATAGTTATTGACCACATGTTCACTGTGATGTTTACATCTGAGTGGAGGAACTGAATAGAAGTTTTAATTGATTAAGGACTAGAAAATTTGACCTTCCAACTTTCTTTCTAAAGGAAGAACTGCCCAGAGCTCCTGTGCCTGCTTATTTTCCTTTGCTGCTGCAGTGGCCCTGATGTATCACAGAAGTCTCAGTTTTTTTCTCAACTTTAAAATATAGAATTTTCTTGGTGTTTGGTTTTAAATATTCTCCTCTGAGAACTGAAACTCAATCGCTGTAGTGTTGTATTTAAGAGGCTTCTGGAAAGTAACTAGCCTTTAAACAGAAGTAAAAGCAGTGTTGCCAACTCTCGTGATTTTGTCATGAGTCTCATGATAATTGTTTTCCTTAAAGCCCCAGCTCCTGGAGTCAAGTGGATATGTGATGATTTCAGCCTTCATTCTAAAAGAAAAATGAAGTTTCTAGTCCTCGTGGCTGTGGAGAAAACTTCAAAATGTGACCCCAGTGCACACTAAAGGCTCAAAAAGCAGAAGGCAAATCAAAAGAACTCCAAATCCGTTATTTTCCCATAATCTCCTGATTTTAAAGCCAATCTCATGATTTTTGGTGAACCTGATTCATGATTTTTGAACATTTGGGATTGGCAGTACTGTGAAAGTGACTTGAAAATGTCAGTTTCACTCCTGTTTAAGGTTAGTTTCTAGTCTGTTATTTGTAGTGAGGTGACACCTCTAGAACCCCAGGCAGGTGCAGTATAAACTCATGGGGGGGCTTGCCCTAGTAAGATGTTTCCAAAGTTACATGATCTATTCCAAGTTTGGTGAACTGAAAAAAAAAAAAAAAAAAAGATAGAAAGTAATCTAGATTTTTCTACAATTGTTGTATTCAAGAGTTAGTAACAAGGAATATACATAAAATTTTTAAACCTAACTAGTGTAACTTAAGTGACTTGACACAAGATGTGAGAACATGTTAGCATTAGAGCTGAGTGGGTCTAATAGTCATTAAATCCTCTTTTTTTGTATAGGAATTAGATACAGTGCTCCTATCAGCTAATTTCTAAACTATCTGCAAACAAGAAAAAAAACAAAAAAACACCTAGAGTTTTCAGGTCCCTAAGTAGTCCTTAGAATCATGGTTAAAGTTAAATCTTAAATGGCGCCCCTGAGCTCTGACTTTGGGAACAGCAGCCTTTAGAAAGAAATTCCGTGCCATTTTTCCACACAACCAGGGAGGAGGGTAGTAGTTAGTTCCGTTAGTACACAAGCTACACTACACTTCTCAACAGCTACTGGGAGAGTCTGCACTTTGCAAGAAGTTCAACTTGCTGCAAATGACAATTTTCAACCTTGTGAACAGAAACACACGACTTGCCTGACTAGCCTCTAAATATTCAACGAACGCAAGAAGCCTAATCATAATCAACTAGTCCGAGCCAGCAGCGGAGGGGACCCTTCCCACTTCCAGGGTCCTAGAGCTCCGTTTCCCCCCCTCATTTCCACCCTGGCAAAGGGAGTGGGGTCCAGTGGGAAGCCCACGCAGGACGGCTGGCCCAGGGCCCAGGCCTGGGCCCGGCAGTGATCAGCTCAGCTGCCGGCGCCGCGCATACCAGCTGAGCCCTGTCCGCAGTCTCTCCCCAGCCCTGCTGGCCACAGAACAAAGTAACTCACGCTGGAGGTCTCCTGAGTACCCTAGGGGGAGAGCATTGCAGAGAGCGCCCCGGGCAGCAGCCTGACCTCGTAAGGGGCGGGGGGACTGACGGCTCCCACCTCCCCCTGCCCGGTCCGGCTGCAGTCAGACCCGGTGCCGGGCAGCGGCTCCCTGCCCCAAGCCGGAGTCAACCCGCGGTATCCCCTGCCCGGCGGGGCGTTGCTGCCCCGGGACCCCCCTTACCCGTGTGAACTGCACGGCACCCGGGATCGCAGCCTTGGCGCCGGCCACCGGCCGGGAGGACAGGCTTCTAGACTGGCGGAGGGGGAGGAGGGGCCGGCGCACAATGCAGGAGGCTGGAGCTTCCTCTGCTCTCAGCCCTGCTGCAGGGAGGGCCCTAGTGGCTGCAGGCCCACAGGCCGGGCTATGGGCCAAGCTCGCAGCTGGGGAAACTGAGCGTGCCCCAGGCTAAGATGGAGCCAGCCCAGGGAGGAAGCAGCAGTGGTCGTAGGCACGCAGCGTTTTTACACATTTAATTACTTGTAAACAAAGTTGAGTGTCTTTAATTTGCACTATGTCTAGAACCCTGGTTGAACAAGGTAAACTTAAGCATCCTAAAGGGTGTAATTTTCAAAAGCCTCTTGGTAACCTAATAACCTAAATCCAATTTTCAAAAGTGATTTAGTAACTTAAGAACCAAGATTTCATTGAAAGTCAATAGGACTTAGAGTCCTAAGACCTGGTCTACACTTAAAAATTAAATCAACCTAGCTGTGTTGCTCAGGGCTGTGAAAAATGTTGCACCCTGAGTGCCATAGTTAGGTCAAGCTAATCCCTACTGGAGGCATAGCAACCTGGACAGAAGAATTCCTCCATCATCCTAGGTACCACCGCAGAGAGATGAATGCACTACGTTGCTGGAAAAAAACCCTCTATCAATGTAGGAAGCATAACTGTGGTGCTACAGCAGCACAGCTACAGCGCCATACCTGGTGTAGACATACGCTCAGTCTCTTTTGAAGATGGGACGCTCCCAAGACACTTAAATGTCCTTGAAAATGTTATTTTAAGTGCCTAACTTTGTGTCAACAGGACTAGTCACATGCTTAAAGTTAATCATATGCTTAAGAACCTTGCTGAATCGGCTTTAGCTAACATTGGGAGGTTAGATGAGGGATGGTGTATGAGCCATAATACATTATCTTCAAAGGTGCAAAAAATTGCAAACTTATCCTGAGGAAGTGAGAGACTCCACATACCTCAGATCACTTTAAGTCATCCAGATCAAAATGGCAAAAGTGACAAATGGAAACCCTTAGTCCCAAACCAAGCATTAGGATGAGCCTGACAATGCAGTATAGTACTAAGAAAGTGCTGCTGTTCAGGTGACACTAGGTCAAGGTTTGTTCCACCCATCTCTGGCTAATGTTCTGATGGAAGTTAAAGAGCTTATGGAAGTTTTTATAGAATAAATTGGGGTAATGATTAATATCCTCTCTCTATAAAATAGATCAAAACAGCATCCACTTGAAAATCATATTTTCTTACCATTTTTTCTTTCTACCATACTAAGTAACACCTATTATTGGTATAACAGAGAAGTTAGCCAAAAAAGACTTTTTTCAGTTTACTTTGTTCTTTTTGAAAGCACTTTGTGTATTCACTTTTGTTGTTGATTTGTTGATTATTTGCACTTTCTGTCTTATGCACTTTCATGATGACATCACTCTCACTCTTTGTTCCGGGATAGAATCATAGAATATCAGGGTTGGAAGGGACCTCAAAAGGTCATCTAGTCCAACCCTCTGCTCAAAGCAGGACCAATCCCCAACTAAATAATCCCAGCCAGTGCTTTGTCAAGCTGACCTTAAAAACCTCTAAGGAAGGAGATTCCACCACCTCCCTAGGTAACCCATTCCAGTGCTTCACCACCCTCCTAATGAAAAAGTTTTTCCTAATATCCAACCTAAACCTCCCCCACTGCAACTTGAGACAATTACTCCTTGCTCCGTCATCTGCTGCCACTGAGAACAGTCTAGATCCATCCTCTTTGGAACCCCCTTTCAGGTAGCTGAAAGCAGCTATCAAATCCCCCCTTATTCTTCTCTTCTGCAGACTAAACAATCCTAGTTCCCTCAGCCTCTCCTCATAAGTCATGTGTTCCAGCCCCCTAATCATTTTTGTTGCCCTCCACTGGACTCTTTCCAATTTTTCCACATTCTTCTTGTAATGTAGGGCTCAAAACTGGACACAGTACTCCAGATGAGGCCTCACCTAGCCATTCAGTCCCTAGTCTGTAACAGTGCATGGGATTCTTCCGTCCTAAATGCAGGAATCTGCACTTGTCCTTGTTGAACCTCATCAGGCTTCTTTTGGCCCAATCCTCTAATTTGTCTAGGTCCCTCTGTATCCTACCCCTACCTTCCAGCGTATCTACCACTCTTCCCAGTTTAGTGTTATTTGCAAACTTGCTGAGAGTGCAGTCCACCCCATCCTCCAGATCATTAATGAAGATATTGAACAAAACCAGCCCCAGGACCGATCCCTGGGGCACTCCACTTGAAACCGGCTGCCAACTAGACATGGAGCCGTTGATTACTACCCGTTGAGCCCGACGATCTAGCCAGCTTTCTAGCCACCTTATAGTCCATTCATCCAGCCCATACTTCTTTAACTTGGTGGCAAGAATACTGTGGGAGACCGTAAGAATACTGTGGGAGACCGCATAATTTATTTTAATTTAAACAGAGGAGTTACTTTCAGACTTGTTTGTTAGAAGAACAATACCAGCGCCTTTCTCTACACATTTTTCCTTTTTAAAGATGATGTAGCTTATGTAGTATAATGCTTCATCTCTATTTTTGTATGTTGTTTTAGTGGGACCTTATTAGAAATCCTGGGAGGTTTGCGGGTGCAAGCCCACCCACATCTAAAGGCCCTTCCCACAGCCTTGCGGGAGGGACCACTGGACCGGGGAACCAACTGAAAATGGGGGACAACTAAGAATAACAGGGTCAGGAGTGAAGGACACAGGTTCAAAACTAGGGATCCAGAGCGGGACACTGAGCAGAGAACCCCAGACAGCGCCTATTTCTCCTCAAAGCTGTCTAGGGAGCCAGTGGACGCCACCCAGAGGAACTCTGCCCAGATGCGTGAGACCAGGAAGGAGCGGAGATAGGCCTCACAGTGGCAGAGCACCCCCTAGTCTAACATCCTCCTCCTGCTGTTGAAGATGGCCACTTTGGTCAGAGTCAGGAGGAGGTTGACAAGGAGGTCTCGTGTCTTGGTGGGGCCACGGACAGGGTGTGTAAATATAAACAGGTGTGGGGAAAAGTGCAGCCAGAATAGGAGCTGCAACTTGGTGCATTCGAGATAGGCATGCGCCAGGTTCTCTCTCACGCCGCAAAAGGGGCAGGCGTCGGGGATGGTGGTGAACCATGCCAGGTACACGCCTGTGCTCACAGCTCCATGGAGGAGCCACCAACCGATATCTTGGCGGGCTGTGGGACCAGGGTGGAATAGAGGCTGGCCCACCGGGGTTCCTCACCCTCCACAGGTAGTAGATAGTCTCGCCACAAGGGTGAGGAAGTGAAACGTGTCGAGCACAAACGTGTATAGTTGTTTCCTTGGTGTGGTCCAGAAGCAAACCAGCTGCAGGGCACGCAGCCAGCTCGGATTGTGGACGAGAGGAGGCCGAGAGGGCTTGCGGGACAGTGGCCTGGTGAAAAGGTCCGGAAGGCCTGGGGTGAGGGGCGGGCGGGGAGCACCCTCTCGCAGTACCCACTCAAGGAAAACCCAAGAGGTGGGCGATAAGGCTGCCCCCACCTCCTGGAGTACGCGCAGGGGGGTCAGGAGGGTGGATACCCCATGCACCGACCGTGCGCTTGGGGATCCACCCAATCCCCCCAGTCATAGTCCAGGAGGTCTCCAATTCTGGTGGTTTCTGCAGGACCAACCTCTGGCACACCGAGGGGGACTCCTCCACCTGCACATGAAGATTGGGATTGTGTAGCAGTGGCTCCACAAGGAGGTCCACCCCCTCAGTGGCCACAACAGACCTGGTCACTGAGAACAGCTTCCAGGTCTGGAGGAGGTCCTGGTAGAAGACCGGCAGCTCGGAGAGTTCTCGTGAAAGACTCTTTGGGTGGAGAAAAAAGAGCTGCTGGTCGTATCGGAGGTGGCAGAGGCAGGCGTGCGCCAACGTGCTCAATGCCGGACTACCTGTACCATAAAGGAGTCTCTGCAGGGCCTTGAGGCAGCAGACATGGACCTGGCTGTGGAGGCAGACCAGGCCCTATCCTCCCTCCTCCAAGGGAAGACTCAGGACCTCTGCAGAGACCCAGTGCAGTCCTGGCCAGAAGAACTCCAGAGCTACCTTCTGGAGCTGGGCTAGGATCCCCGGGGCTGGGTTCAGGGTGTTGAGCCAGTGCCAAAGCATGAACAGGACTAGTTGATTCAGTACCAGTGCCCTCCCCTGCAGGGAGAGGCAGCAAAGGAGTCCTGTCCATCTGTGCAGCTGCTCACCCACCCTGGCCTCCAAATCCTGCCAGTTCTCCTGTGGAGAAGGATGCGTGGCGGAAAGGTAAACGCCAAGATAGAGCAGTGGACCCACATTCCACTGAATGGCTTGAAGCACAGGTGGGAAGGAGCTCATTTGCCACCCTGCCCCGACCATCAGGCCAGAGCTCTTGACCCAGTTGACCCGGGTGGAGGAGGCCACCGAGTAGATCATCTGGCAGGCCTCCACCTGCACCAGGTCACCCAGCAGCTGGACCATGAGCACGTTGTTGGAGTACGCTAACAGCCGCAACTCCGGCTCCCAGAGCACCAACCCCGTCAACCTCGGACGGAGACAGAGGAAGGGCTTGCTTGCCAGAGTATACAACTGGCCCAACAGTGGACACCCCTGTCAGGGTCCAGTTGAGCCTGATCAAGTTATCAAAGATGGTGTGGCTGAGGACGAGGTAGGTCTGGTCGGTATGGACCAAGTCGGCCAGCACAGACCCCAGCCACAGTGAGATGGCCTTCGCTATGACCTTGTAGTCCATGCTGAGGAGCGAGACAGGATGCCAGTTCCGAAAGTCGCAGAGGTCCCCCTTCTTGGGTAACAAGGCGAGCATGGCTCACTTCTACAACAGAGGGAGGACCCGCTCTCCAAGGACGTGGCCCAGACGGTGACGAGGTCCGGGCCAAGGACATCCCAGAACACGCGGTAGAACTCCACAGTCAGCCCATCCATGCCCAGAGATTTATTGGTGAGCATGAGACGGAGGGTTTCCGAGAACTCGGCCAGAGTGAGAGGCAGCTCCAGCCGGTCCTGGTTGTCCACGCTGACCATTGGGAGTTAGTTCCAGAGCACCCTTCAAGTATCGAAGTCCATCAGATCTGGGGAGAAGAGGCTGGCGTAGAAGGCCCTGGCCCTTCCACACATCTCCTCCAGATCCGTGAGGGGAGTGCCATCCTCCGCCAAGAGGCAGGCGACATGCTTTTTTGCCTCCCTCTTTTTCTCCAGGGTATAGAAGCAGCGGGAGCAGCAATCCATTTCCCAAAGGAGACGGATGCGGGATCGAACTAACGCGATGGTCCTCCAGGGCCCGGAGCTCCTCCCGCTTCTCCCGGCATGCTCCGCAGAGGGATGGATCCCCAGTG